GATCAGTGAGGCAGCCAGACTTCAGTTTGACTTGTGCTTTGACTTGTTTTCTTTGGGGTTTCCATCTCACAGGTGAGGAGTACAGGAGAGCACAGGGTGGTTAATTCACTTAAACATCATCCCCAGTATGACATTTTGTAATGCAGAAAGAAAGTTCTAAATGTAAAGGCCTGACACTGTGTGTGTGTGACTAAGCGGCCCTTTCCCCTGACACAGGAACTTCTAGGAGGTCATGTGCTCTTTCTAATTCTGGCCCTGGCATGTGGCAGTAACTTGGTAAGCGAAGATCATAGCGGTGTCCTGCTCTATCAAAAGCCTTGTCACTAAGTGAGTACACCTTATCAGTAATGTCACTGCGCACAATCAGGGCAAAGATCCGGGCTATGTAGCGGTGCTTAGCAAAAAGCAGGTACAGCTTCTTCCTCCTCCAGGCTATGTATCGGCACTGATCGTCAGCATGCAGAGTCACCTGAGGAGAAAAAAAACTGAACGTCATGTTTTTATGTAAGCTTTCAGTAAAACACAGCTCAAGGTGTTGAAAGAGCTATCTGCAAAAAAAGTAACTGATATTTGTAATTTAAATATCACTTATGAGATATTCACCATGCTCAAAATGACAGAATGCCTTCAACAGAGTTCCAAAAAAGTTAAAGATTTGCCATTTTATGTCAGCCCAAGAGACATATGAGGTAAACTTACAGCTACACAAACATAAAAACAGCTTAGACTCAGTACCCGCATACCCCAGTGTATTTTTCAGCCAGAAGATATATGCATTTATTTATAATGTTTTTAAAGAGTTATTTTGGCCAGGATTTGAATGAAAACTGTCAATACAGTAATCTGGGCTCAGATGCTAATTCCTAAGCTCTACCACTGAACCAACAAGCAAAGAATTCTGAAGAGATGGAAAGAGGAACTGCATCATAGATGAAGAACTGTAACTATAAAGAAAGGTGTACATTTGTGCTCAGAAAGGTGGGGGCTTCTCTGCTGAAAGGGTTTAATAAACCTACAGTTACACAAAAGACCTTGAGGTAAAGGTCAGTTCCATCCTCCCTGACCTTCATCTCAATTAGACATCGAAAGAAATGTCATTATATTCATGACATGCAGAGAAGCATAAACACCTGGAATATTCCCTCCTCTGAGGGCCTCAGAGAATCCCATTCAGGAGAATCCAGGAACTGGAAAGGGTAGATGTAATGCAGGAACTCTCCATTCACTGTCACATGGATTCTGGAAGCAAACAGAGAATTAAAATCCATAAACTGTATTATGACCAGCATTGTGCCAGTCAGTCGGCTCATCTGTGATTCCTGTCTGGAACAGCTGCTGCTGACATCAAGACATGGAAAAGGACTCAATCAGCCAAAAGCCACAGGGACAGCAGGGGAGGTGGTGATGAGGCTAACTTTGTCCTTTTTTCAAAGAACACAACTGAAAACTTCTGTCATTAAACCTTTAGGAGCCCCATGACAGAGACATGTCAGATGAAGTGTAGACCTCAGGCTGCTGGACAGAGCCAGTTCCTTCCTCCCTGACCTTCACCTCAATGAGACATTGAAATATAACATATTTTTGTTATATTGTTGCACATAAATATTTATTCACTTTTCTAGCATTCTTCTGTATTCTGATTTATTAACAGGAATATTTTTCTTTTCTGGTATTCTGCATGGCTACAGACTTGTTTTCCTCTCAATGGATTTTAAGAACCATCCATCCATTTTCTGTACACCCTTGTCCCTTAGTGGGGTCAGGAGGGTTGCTGGTGCCGATCTCCAGCAAGAGGCAGGGTCACCCTGGACAGGTCACCAGTCTGCTGCAGGGCAACACAGAGACAGACAGGACACACAACCATGCACACACACACCTAGGGAGAATTTAGACAAACCAATTAACCTGACAGTCATGGATTTGGACTGTGGGAGGAAGCCGGAGTACCCGGAGAAAACCCACCATGCACAGGGAGAACATGTGCAAACTCCATGCAGAAAGACCCGGACTGGGAATTGACCCCAGAACCCTTCTTGCTCCAAGGCAACAGTGCTACCAACTGCACCACTGTGCAGCCCGTTTTAAGAACCAGTCATGTTAAAATGTTACAATGCAAAGGGGAAACTGCTGTTTTGCACACTATTAAAACTAGTAAGAATTAAGTCACTTTACAGAAAAACAGTCTGCCACAAAGTAAAGAATGCTTTGAGCTTTCTTTAGAAATACATTATATGATAATCATAATGATTATGGACTGTTATCCTCTGCCAGTTGCAGTACTAGAGGTCTGGAGCCTGGCTGATTTACTCCACACCTGCAACTGTTGAAGCAGTCATAAACCCAGATTAGCTGCAGAAAAGCTAGAGAAGTTTATAATTTGTTATTATTAACCCTTGTATGTCGAAATGGGGTCCAACTGACCCCACACATGTAAAACCTGTATCATTTTCCATAGACCTCTACGTATGCCTCAGTCCTCGCACGCACAAGGGTTAAAAGGTTCTTTTAAAGCATAGTTGAAGTGTGAGGTTTCCCAGACCAGCTGCAATAGTGGGACAGATTTGGACGTCACCTGCCAGACAGAAGAACAGACAGCTTGTCAATAGCTGTTTTTCCTTCTACAGCAAAGAACTGGCCCTTCTCCAAGGTGTGGACAACTCCGTCACTGGAAGTCACTATCTTCCCAAAATGTGTAAGGGAGACTCCGAGTCTTTTAAACATGCAGTTATACAGTTCCTCAAAGTCCTTGTCGAATGTGAGGCTCCTCAGCTTGTAGACTATATAGAGAGCCTGAGTCAAACACGCCCCGAACAGGGCGAAGTTCCAGAGGAAGGTGTCCGTGGTGCAGGGGTCCGACCATGCCCACGCAGTGCTGCAGAAGAAGCCCACAGTCAAGAAGGTGAACAGGTAAAGGTGTCCGTAGAAACCGCTTCCTCCCATGAAGCCGAGGAAAAGCAGGATGTTGGCGAGGTGGAACAGAGATCCCTCCGCAGCCTCCTTCCATTCGCCACACAGCGGGAACGCTGGCGGCGCCGGCTTCACTGTCAGGTTCATGGCTTCAAAGTCCGGAGGCTCCATCGTGGTGGAAGCGAAGGAAGAAGCAGCACAAGCACAGAATCAGCTCCGACCTGAAGGACCTGCGGCTGCCTGTCTGTCTAACTTTTCCCTGTCCTGTTGGGTTTATGAGCGCAGACAGCCGGAGGGAGGGGCTGGTGACGTTTATATTTTAAACAGCTTCACCAAACGCAATCATTAAAATGCATTATGAATTTTAATGATTGAATGAATTTACACTCACAATACGTTACACAACCCATGTTTAATTTATCCAAATCTTAAATAATATATATTTCAGAAAATAAACTGATACTGATATCGTCCTACGACCAGATTGAGATTCAAACTCTTTCAATATTTGATATTGTACACAGCTATCTAAACATGTATTCTATAGTAATAATTGTAGTTATCCAACTAAATCTTATTACAACATACTATTACTACAACCTTATGAGTCACATTCCAGACTGGCAGAGAACATACACTCATTAGAAAGAACATTTATGAAACAACAATATGATCGTTCAAATTCAGTAAACAGTGAGAATGAAGAGACTCATCTATCATAAGGAACCATTTAGATGTATGTTTACAGTCACCATCACCCCTTAAGATACAGATTTACTGGAGCCTACAGGACACATGAATTAACAAATAAAATCTAAGCTGCCAACACATTCATCTTCAAATAGAGAACTTGATGATGGAAGATTAGGCCAGTTTTGGCTTCCAGGAAAGATCCACAGAAATATGAAACATGAAAAAGCAATCAGAAGCAGTCAGTTGAAATAACAAACTTTACCAGTTCATGATGAGGCTAAAGAAATGGTATTGCTGAAGGTGAGAAAAATTTAAAAGATTTTGCTTACAAGTGGAGTCAGATGCTGCAACTGTAGTTGGTTTTTAAGCTGTAATTAAACATTTACTTCACAGACCTTCTTTTGTAATAAATCACAGACCTATGTCTAATCTTCCTTTGGATTGTGATGGTGTTGAGTATTTCCTTGACTTTTCTCCTTCTAAGGTTCCATGGTACCTTCTGGATTCTGTTCCTCGATCTCCTGATTGTCCAATTGTTGAATTCCTCAAGATTAATACCTCTGATTCCCGTTCCACGGCTTCACTCTGGTATCCACAAGATCTCCCTCGTTCCGGCATCCTTCCTATTCAGACCCAGCTCAAACATCTCCCCACCTTCCCTCCTTCACAGACTTTTCTCCACCATAATCAGTAAAAAAACCTCATTCCTTCTGTACTTTCCAACCAGCCTGTTTTTCGGCACTCATTGTCCTCCATTCTGTTCCAGAGATCCCTTTTCCTTTTCCCTCTCCAGATTCCCTGGACAGAGACACACACTCAATTCATTGTTTGTACAATAAACTTTCCATCTGAGTACTGAGAGTGATCTGCATGTGGATTAAGAAATTACCCCAAACCATGACACATTACTCAGTCAGAAACAACCAATTAGAGACAGAGGAGAGTCTTACTGTTCTTAATCTCCTGCTCACCACTTGCATGAGATCCATTCGCCATTACAGCTGCAGCTGGTTCACCACAATAGAGTAAGTACAGTTCATTTATATAAACTTTACTGTGTCTGCTTTTCACATACAGTACATAAAATCACACAGCACTGGACAATAAAATCAACCTTAAAGAAAAAAGCATGCATGAGAAACAAAAAATTGACATGAAAGCCTGGAACAATAAGAGCTCCGTACGTCAGCACAACTTATGACTGGCCGACAGTTCCACACTACTGTTCCTGTCCTGGAAAAGACATTGATGCCAAATCTAGTCTACTTAAAGGATGCAAAAGCAAAAGATTCTTACAGATTTTTCTACAACTGCAGATATTCAGCTCGCCCACTCCCTGAACTTCACCCTGGTCAAAATGTGAGAGTGAAACTTGATGGAGAAAAAAGTCTGCCACCTTTGTCCAGGCTTTGTAGATAAAGTCTAAGGCATTTGTGAGTCCTTAGACTTACAAATGACTTACAATGACTTACAGCCCAGATCCTACCTCGTGGAATGGCCAATGTTCCCATGTCGCAACAGACATCACCTTCAGGTGGTTCCTGGGACTGATATGCCTGCAGAACAACACAGCTCTGAGCCTGCAGTGGGGGAGCACTAGGAAACTAGACATGTAAAACAGGTTTGAAGAAGAAGTAGCTCAAGTTGTTACCTTGTGCTATAGCTACATAAAGAAGCAGAGTTTTCCACTAAGGATTACCTCTCGTGTCTTCCCTCATATCATGACAAAGGAGTTGTTAATTGTTGCCACTATTAAAGGGTAATGCAGTACATAGTCTGCTGTTTTTCTCTAAAACCAGCTGTAAGAGTAATTTGTACCAGTAGAATGGGAGGCAGATCCTTTAGTTATCAGGCTCTTCTCCTGTGGAACCAAACCCAGTTTAAATCTGTGAGGTATGTATAGTATGGTGCGCTCATAGTTCGGAAAATACTGTAATTGGTCTTAAAAGATTTTTTGAAAGCAAATTAATTATCTGCAAATAATGCCATCTTTGAGTGTCTTTGCTGTAGTAGTGACTAGTGGTGTAATCATGTAATTTTATTATCACTAGATGGCAGTAGGTACAGAACATTTTACATTAAAACAAGAGAATTAGTGATGCATGAATGTGTGTTGTAGCACTGTTCAGGTGTATTTCTGAAGTGGACATGTTAAGTGCAGTTTGAAATAAGAAATGTAAAATATGATAAAAAAAATTAATTTTTGTGTTTATTTGATTCCTATTCAAGACACTTTGATAAGAATGACTATATGTAATGTAGGCGGCTACAGAGTATCTTTGTTTACATTTTTGGTTGGTGGTGTGCCTCATGATTTTTCAATTAAAACAGTGTACCTTGGCTCAACAAAGGTTGAAAAACCCTTGTCTTAGAGACTCCCTGTCTCTAAGAACAAGGGGGGGAATCAACTTTTTGGGGGGCAAAATGAATGTATGTAGCTGAACATAGACAACAACATCAGTAGCCTACAGGCTACTTGTTAAGCTTAAGGTGATGTATTGAGGTGATGTATTAAGACGGCTTCCCGCGTCCCCCCTGCAATATCAAGGCGCCCCCCCCTATGGGACGCGCCCCACAGTTTGGGAACCTCTGGGTTAACCTGAGCTATCTCTGTAGTTATATTGCCATAGGCTAACACTGCTGGAGAACAAACTGACCGCTTTTTTCATTTTATTTTTCTACTACACTCCAGTTTGCATTATTTGCTGTTATTTCAATTGTTAACTTTTTTTTTTCTTTTTTTTCAGTTATTTTTCTCTCCATAGAAGCTACATCTGGTCTGGCATTCTGATTGGCTGTGATTTCTGGAGGAAACCAATTGCTGAGGTAATGTTGCCATCAAATTATTGCTCAGCTTCTCCTACTAATGTTTATGTTTATGAACATGAAAAATTAATCTAAACCAGTTCATCTGTTTCTTCCATGCTCAGTATAGGGAGTTACTGTAAAACAGGGGTCACCAACTCCAGCCCTCCAGGGCTACCATCCTGCAACTTTTAGATTCACCTCTGCTCCAAAATATCTGAATTCCCTCACCAGCATTCATTCGTCTCTGCAATAGGCTGGAAACAAGCAGTTTATTTGATCCAGGTGTGTTTGAGCAGAGACGCATCTAAAAGTTACAGGATGGTGGCCCTGGAGGACTGGAGTTGGTGACCCCTGCTGTAAAATAATGCAAAGCGAGCAATTATCTGGGAAGAGGAGTGGAACCATCCATCCATGTCTATATGCAGCATTTACTGGGCGAGAAGTGGGTTACATCCTAGACAGGTCACTAGTCCATAAGTGTTGGAACAAATTTTTTTTAATGTTCTTTGTTTTCAGCAAGAAAATGTAACATTTTAAAAACACAAATTAATCATAGAATTAAATATGTATGTTATGGTGTCATTTATACATTTATTGAATCATTTAAATGTGTTTTATGGTAATAACTCATAATCAGCATTTAACTAAGTAAAGCATGTGGACTGAAAATTATGGATAAGAAAGGCAGCAACATTAACATGTAAGCTTATATAAAAGAATCAAAGTTAATATAGTGCAGAGGTTCCCAAACTGTGGGGCGCGACCCCTAGGGGGGGCGCCGTGTCATAGCAGGGGGGGCGCGGGAAGCCGTCTGGATGAAATAAAATAAAAAAAAAACATGAACACTGTATGCGCTGGGTTTTTACCTTAGAATGGCCAACTCTCTGTTATAACTATGTCAATTTGATACAGTAGAGGCTTCCACACTTCCCATATCTGTGTCGTCTGTCACTTTTATCAGCAGTTAAAACTGTTTAATCAGTTGTTAACATGTTGTAACCTGTTTTTTCCGAGCCGCCTTTAAACGCAACATGAGCGCTACGACGCTTGCGCTGGGTTTCCACCTGTGAAGGAGACCTGCTGCTGCTGGGCGGAGCTACGTAGGTTTGTGTTAGAATCACCGCAACAAACCAGCAAAACGCAAAGAACTTTTCACAGTTTTTCCCTCCAACGACTGAGTTGAGTAAAGCTGTTGGATGCAGGTAATGTTAGCTAAAAGATGACCAGCTAATATCAATACAGCACCTGTAGCTTAACAAGTAGCTTGTAGGCTACCGATGTTGGTGTCTATTTTCAGCTACATACATTCATTTTGCCCCCAAAAAGTCGATGCCCCCCACCCCCGTCACACGCGTCGTTTCAACCAGACAGCCTTTTGTAATCCATAGGGGGGAGCAGAAAATGTTTGGAAACCACTGGGGGGGCGCAGAAGAAAAAGTTTGGGAACCACTGATATAGTGTATATGGTAAACGTTATCTTAAAAGTAATTTTTATTGATTTATTGTCCTGCTAATTAAATCATAGAGCCTGAAAGATCATTTAGAATACTTGGTCAACATGTTGCAGGTTTTCTGTTAGATAAAAACCTAGAAAAGATGACAAACTGGCTCTTAAATAATTAGTACTGCGTTCTGAAACGGCATATAAATCAAGGTAAGGTCATGTCAGGTCATTTTATTTATTATATAGCACATTTTCAGCAACAAGGCAATTCAAAGTGTTTGACTGTTCATGTAAATACATGTTACATGTATTTTCATTATTTGCCCTCCGTCTCTTTATGTGTATGTG